CAAGTAATGAATCACTAGAAAGAAAGTTTGAAGATTAGGTAAAAAAAGATTTGTGTTTGTGTTCTGTTTGGTGAAATTTAGAATTGCTGGATTGTTAAATGAAAACAAAAAATTTATGGATCACGGAAACAAGTTTGCGAGACAAATAAGTAAAATCTCTGAAAATTTGAAAAACATTTAAAGATAGAACTAAACGTGAGTTATCAATAGAATTAATGAGCGTAATAATAGTTTTGTTTGCATTTTTTAGTCAACACGGTATAGTTTGCAAGCTAGTTATAATCATTTATGTATTTATGTATGAGTAAGCTTGACCTTAAAGTATCTACAAGAGTATTGTACCAATACTTCTACAGAAGCATTTTGGCAATGCTCTGAAATAGAGCCCGCCTTGCAAAGGATTAAAACTACTTCTATGATATGTTATGATTCGTTGTCTGCCAACAAGTTTATTTCCGTTCAAATTAGGAATATCCGATATGGTATTTCATGTTTATTTCTTTACTTTTCCGTCTTGAAAAGTATAACAGCATATGTTGTCAGATAAAGTCACCCTTAGACAGTAGTAGATATCCAATACTTTGGATTGATTGGAGTTACTCTTAAAGGCAGGAATAACAGTATTACACTATAAATGTCACGCACGGAAACCCCCCCAAATTTGTCAAAAAACCTGAGCGAGCATGATTGGTAATAGGACCTATAAAGTAAATGGTTTGAACCCGGGAGTAACGCTACATGTTTGTAAATGTAGATCGTCCAGGTTAGTATAGTCCTGAGAAGGACTGTTTTTGTTGTTCTTGACTGACGTTCCGACAACCTTAAGACTCTGAAGTCCTCAGGACTTTAATAGGACTGTGGCAGCCATATTGACTTCTCAAACTCACTCATGAGAAAGTACCAAAAGGTTAAACTTATGATTCCGACCACTTTCTCTGAAGAAAGTTTGTTAAAAACTCGTCTTCCAGCGACTTGACAATTTGCCTTTATTGTAGTGGAAATTTCTCAGTAAAACACACGTAAAACACACAAGCGACAATATAGAGAGTGGTCCCGAAGATATTTCTCCTAATTCAAAAATATCTTCAGCTAAAAATAGTCACCTTGTGGTCTGGCAGGTTACTGGAAATTAGTAAACTAAACTGACCATCGCTTCTTTTGTTGCTTCGCTCTGTCGGATTCAAGTTCGCCCTAACATTTATGATCGTAAATCGCGCGAAATTTTCGCAGTCGCCAGTGCTCGACCTCAACTTTTAAACTTACTAGTCCTTGGGCTAGTAAGGCTTGAAATTTACTAGCCAACAGGCATCCGTTGGTAGCCAGGTTTGAGGCTTGAACTTTTAAAATAACTAATAGAATAACTTATTTTATTAGTACTCTATGAGACAAATAAAGACTTGTGAATACTTTCAGTCCATGTCCATTCTTTGTGGTCTTCTCAGCCTTTCTCCCGAGTTTAGCCATCTGGCAACTGCTCTGGTGGCATTGTAGTCAGAGTGGTTAGGCCCATTCAGTGCAATGTTTTGCTAGTTCCATGACAGTGTCTTTAGTAGTGTCAAAAGAGGCATCATCACCAGTTTTCTTGGACAGAGTTACTCCATTGAAGCTGAAGTCGGCACCAACTGACTGCTCAAAAGATCTCAGATGCTGTCCTGATCTTATTTTAATTGCATCTAAAGTGGCAGTTAGTGCGTTTATCTTATCTTGAACTATTGCAATTGTGCTATCATCTCTTTGAAATACAAGTGACACCTTGCTAACTTGCTGGATAATGTCTAAGAGAAAGTGAAGGAACTTGACAAACAGATAACTGGTCAGTTTCTCAACATAGTTCTTAGCTCTACCTTGCATTTCAGCACTGCTATCCCTTGCTTCACTTGCATGTTGAAAGTGCATGACAATTAACTTGTAGTTTTTAGTAAGCAACACGTTATCTACTGGCTACTGGCTTCACAGATCAGTCACTTAGCTCGCTTTAACAACTGAGATGCCATGATTAAATCTTGACTCGTTTACTGTGACTGTTTAGACCGGTCTGTGCCCTGCATGTGTGCTTTTTTATGTGAAAAGAGACTTTTAACACGTATAACAAGATTAGTAAACTTTTAATAACCGAGTACGAGGTCTTACAAAGTGATCCTGTAGGGTGAGGTTTGTACAAAAAGACAAAGGTCCGATATTTATCAGTAAAGACTGAAAGCGAGCTATTCAAGTTCGCACCGTAGGCGGTGGAAACTTGAATAGTCAAACAGATAACAGCGAGACGATGAAAAGAGATGAGCAAATTTTATATTTTAGCTATGACTGATGAGAATACACGAAGAAGGGATGATTTATAAATTTTACAACAAATTATGTTTCAGTTAAATTTGATAAACCTTATACACAGTTTAAATATATTTATTTGAATTATTGAAATGTTCTGGAAACTAAACTATTAACAAACGCAAAGTTGAGGCAGCCAGGAAAACTATATAATAACATTTTTACCGATAAGATAGCTCAAAAAATTAAGATTATAAACAACAACTTTTCCAATAATTATTTTTGACGACTGATAGTAGATAAGACGGTTAATTTTCTCACATCTCAGTAATCAGAGATACTACAAAATTGATAGCGTTTCGGCTTGACAGTTCATCATGCAAAGCTTTGATGCAAACAAATATTTTAAAGTGCTTATCTCACAACTTTTTTTCGAATTTTCTGATTGAGGTAAAAAAATCATTGTAAAAGTTATTTTGCAATTTTCTGATTGATGGCTTCGTTTATGAGATAAATGCGTTTCTTTTCTCAAAATCGGCAATAATGGAGAAAATTGCTGCGCGTTCAATTTGCTTGATGGGAGCCTGAAAGGAGAAGCATGTGACGTAACATAAGGACAGGAAGTTTTTTGCTGCAGTGAGATTTTTGCCATAATTTCTACTACGGCTCTGCATCAGGTTTGTTAGTTTGGCCTTTTTGAGGCCAAATAACTAGATTTTGGCCTTTTTTTTCTTTCTTTGGCCTCGAAATTTTTTTTTGGCTATTTGGCTACTTTTTGGCCTCTTTTTACTCAAACAATTTTTTTAAAATTTTTATTGAGCTTTATTTGTAAAAATCTCTTAAATGTACAAAATGCGATGGAAATACAACTAAAAATGATCATAAGGATCAAATTGAGCATTGAATTGTTTTCATCCAATCACAGTTAAGTATAATTCAGCCAATTGTCATGCAATTTAACCAGCTAATCACGAGCAAGCACACAGCTTTGTCTTCGTAGACGTCCGACATCTAGCTATAAATAGCACGTTCGACGACTACTGATACTAGTTAAGACTGATAAAAACGTTATTCGTTGCAATATTATGGCATCAAAATGGAAAGGAGCGTATGATAGCGGAAGAAAATATAACAAGTCTTGGGAAAGTAAATTTAGCTGGCTCACAAAAGCTTCAGACGGAAGTGAAGATGCTTTTTGTAAATTGTGCCGTGCCACAATCAGACCCAAACAAGCAAACTTAACCAAACACGAAAAAACTGATAAACACATCAAACACATTAAAGTATCTACTACTACAAGGCCCATCCAAGTCGTACGTGTCCCAAAAGTTGCAGAAGAAGTAAAGGTCGCCGAGATCGAGCTAGCTGTTACAATGGCTTGCCATTCGGCAATCTTGACCATGGATCATCTCGGAGGGATAATAGCCCGAAATGCTCATGGAAGCAAACTTGAGAACATTAAAATGTTATATATACATGGGTAATAGCCGTCCAACGTACGTACGCTGGACAATAAATGCGTTGAAAAAAACTTTTTGTTAGTGATACAATGTAGTATATGGTGAAAATGGATGTTATATATACATGGGTAATAGCCGCCCAACGTACGTACGCTGGATAATAAATGCGTTGAAAAAAACTTTTTGTTAAATAAAAGCATCTTTTATTTTAATTGTAGACAAAATTGAAGTATAATTGTTTCCTGTACAAGAATTCATTAGTTTTTGATAAAGTAATAGAACTTAGCTAAATAAGAAAATCTTATTCAGTAAACCTAAACTATAAAAACAGCGCTAGTTCATGGTCAATAGTATATTTAGACGACATTGAGTCATAAGAGTATCCACTACAAGATCCACTACAGCTTTCAGGTACTTCGGTAGACAACAAGGTTAGTCACTTTCAGAGTCTGCACCGTCTTGAACTCCACTCGCACAATTATAAATTTTTTCAGCGTTATTTCGGAGACAACGCTCAGTTTTTCGTATACAATATATGCAGGCCTATACAAAATATCATGGTTTCACTGTCACATAGCTTTCACAACAAAAAAACGTCTTGGAATTTGGCGTTAGATGAACAACAAACCTCAGGGAATAAAACGTTATACATGTAGTTGATGTTCATTGAATTTGTTTCATCAAAGGATCGAAAAATATCTGCGACTATTTCTTTGACTACATTCAACAGATCGTTTGCCTATATATACAAAAATGACGAGTTAAGACACCAGTGGGGCTCCATTTCTAACAGAGAATGTGTTTTTATACTTGAGTTCGAGTTAAAGGACACGTCATGTAGAGATCGGTGAGTTCAGTCTGAGCTTGATTTCGCCCACGGATCATTTGCTTAAATAACCTGTGGCGTTTACTGGGTATCGCACCGTTGACGATTTTTTTTAAATATGCCTAAAATTCAATGTTAAAATATTATAGGTATGTTTATCTGCAACTGATATTAAATAATTTAAATTCCAAGAGAACCTTTAATCCTCTGAATGAGCGATTTCCCTTTATATTTATGTCAAATGTTTTCGAAGATCTGTCAAGGAAAAGTTAAAAGAAATGAAATATATTTATTCGTGTGTGTTCAAGAAACTCACATTTTAGAAATAAAATATTTAAGAGCACGAGGAACGTATTAATAACTATTATGAATACGTATGCAAATAAATCGGTGATGCGCAAAAATGAACAGACTAACAGTTCGTAGTTTAGAAAAAGTGGATGTATAATTTACCCATGAGTAAAGTAAGATACATTGCACCCGCAATCAAATTTTCCTTTCTGCTTCGTCGTAATGCCAACGCAATTCGAATGGTACCATTGTTGACAAACATCACACAACACCCAATCCACCATTCCATTATCTTTGGAAGATGGTTCTTGACAAAGAAAGGCTTTACATTTGTCATAGGATGTCAAATGACTAGCTCTTTTCTTTGTACAAGAAACACTTTCTCTGTCACTGGACTTTGCCTCTTTTCTTTTTCTTTTGTTGTTACTTCTTCCCTTCCTGTGTTCTTTATCAACTTTTTTAGGCACGGCGTTTTCTGTTACAAGGTGTCCGTCACCTTCATTAACTGTTCCGTCTCGTCCACAAAATACATTCCCAGAATTACCATCATCATCGCCACCATTATTTATAACATCTTCTCTATCACCTGGAACATCACCATTGTCACAACCATTATTAACATTATCAGTTCTTTGTCCATGGCCAACATCATATTCGTCGGAAACGTTGTTAACAAGTTCGCCATGACTATTATCATCATTCTCACCACTAACTTCAACAACTTCTTGGATGTGGCCGCCATTGTCTTGCTCTTTGTCACATTCCTCAACATTTTCTGCATGAAGAACATTATTTCCTTCCACTATCTCCCTTTCCACAAACGTAAGCTCATTTGATTTTTCAATAAATAAATCCAATGCTGCTTCTCCCATAGTCGATGGATCCCGTAATGATGCGTGTTCTGGAATTCCGCATACTACATATTTGAAATCCCCTTTCAAAAGAGAAGTGTATGGCACTTTTGCTTTGTCCATTCCAGTTGCTTCACCTAGAATGTTTTTTTTGAAACTAGTATAAACTATTGTTACTGAAATTGCTGCAGGATTGTGTTCAACCTCTTTTACTAATCATTGCTTCAAATATTACAAAATTTCGTGCAGAAGTAATTGTACTTATTTCAAGAAATATTGACCAAGAACAACCTTTTCGTATTCCATCTAAAAAGTATTAAAATTAGTTACATGTTCATACTTACAGTATTTCTGATTTAAAATATCACGCAAAGATTTCCTCTTCTGTTTCAATCTTGCCATGCGATTATCGGTAACAGTTTCAACGTTGTCGTTTGACTCAATTGCAACTACCAAAAAGTTTGTATTAGATTAAAATATTAAATAAGAAACAAAAATCACAAGTTCTCGGTTGTCCTGAGAAGAAAAATGTATTTCCTCACGGGCATGATGTAAAGTAAGGACCACAAACCTCCAGAGCTGTTTACAAAAGCATAAAATGAAGCGGGGATGCTCTTTCTTTTGCAGTATTGTAAGGCAGACTTTGAGCCATGCACTTCAACACCAGATTCCACGGCAGCCACGAAAAAGTAATCAATGTTCATTCCTTTCAAAGCATCCAACTAAACAATGGCACCGATAGCATTACTAAAAATTGGAACTGATCACAAAAATAATTTTGTGCATTTATTTTTACCCAATCAACATACCTTCTTCAAAATTTTTTTCAACTCCCGTTTCTTGCGCGTTTCGTGGTCTAAAACAGAGCAATCTGTCTTTGCTCTATTTATATAGCCTTCTCGTTGGCTTTTATCCAGGCAGCGCCATCGTTGTCCAAATTCAACATTTCTAGCGTGAAATGAAAAAGACTTCAAGGAGTCTAAAAAAAGAATAAAAATGTGCATAATGTTAATAGAGACAACTTTGTGTACGTAGCTATTCTCACCATCGTTAGAAGCTTCTTCTTTACAAAATAATTGGTATCCATTCATTCCACTAAAAAAGTAAATGAATTTTATTTTTTATTTTTTATGATTATTCTAACACTTAAGCATCAATGGCATTGATACAAAGATGTGTAAAGAAGTGCCAAACACTTAGGTAAAACAATGCATGAAGTATTGTTGGTCCAACATGAACTCTGTTAAGTGTTTTGTTTATGATGAGAATGTTTCTTCATTTTCTATGTCAACAGTATTATCAAGCAAATACATTCATTGCCCTATTGCCATCTGCAGACATATCTATTGTGTGGGAATATTTACAGTGTAAAAATGAAGTTGTCTTAAAAATGTTTCTATTTACATTGAATGATTAAATTAATTGCTGCATATGATACATGGTCTAAAAATATTAAAAAATTATAATTTCATTTCATAGCTGGTGGTCTTTAGATGAGCACAACATCCTGAAAAATGAAACAAAATAGATTAAAGTATATGTTCACCTTACCAAGCATAGGTAATAAAAAAAATCATAATGCTGTAATAGCAAATAACAGCATGTTGTAAATTATGTAAGCAAGTCTGATAATTGTCTACGTATTGATTTCAAAAGCGATGTCTACACGTAAGAAATCGAGTCACGTATATGACAACTTGCTTTTCATCTGCCTTTTGTCCTTTACACTCAATGCAAAATTTGAATACATGAATGCCTAAACAAAAGGTTTAGCAACAGCAGGATTTACTTCTTTAGTAATGTACCGAAACACGTAATGCTTGTGGTGATTAAAATATTGTTACAACATAGGAAACTTGTTCATTACGTGACTCACGAGAAATGAATTTCCTCGAACTACCGGCAAATTTCGAAAAATTATTCCAGTCAGCTCTGTGTAATATAATCATGAAGATGAAAAATTCATGTACATAAACAACTGCTATCCTTTAGTCACCAACTGCGACCTGTGCGTGGTCACTAAGAACGAAAACAAACTTACATAATCCTCCTCGGAAGAACAGTTTTGTTCTTCCGATTCTTCACCTTCTAATATGCTATCCTTGAAATACTCTTCAGCTTGAGACCGACTCATATCTGCATCATCGCCCGCGAATGGATGAAAGAATGAATCCAAATTTGAAGTGCCAGCATCTACCTTTGAAACCTCGTCGAGAATTTGTACATCAGTGTTGGTATCTTTAAAATTTGTTTTTGAATTCGATGAAGATTGTAGAAAAGTCTTTTTCCCTTCTTCTCGGCCATTGTTGTCTTCAATTGCGGCTTTATTATTCAAACTAAATTTTTCAATGCAACTGAAAGGTTGCTTCCTACTACAGGATGCTGTTGAAGAATCACGTGCAATACCATCATGATTATCACCACTTTCTCCGTTAGATCCTTTTTCTAATTGAGAAAAAGATGCCGCATACTCTTTGTCTACAGAACCACTACAGACACGGGACGTGATTTTTGCTCCAGTACATTTTGATTTAGTTTTTGTATTGATTATTGGAAGTATTTTTTTGGTTGCTTTCAGCCAGGATGGACGACAATATAGTGCACTTCGTTTACGTCCTGAACAAAAACGAAAGGAATAAGACTTCACGCTATTCACAGCCTCATATATAAAATAAGGGCCTGGGGACGAGGCTGCGCTACTCACCTCACTTTTCAGAAGCATCATCTTGAGAAGATAAAACATGTTGAAAACATTGTTACAGAAAACTTATTTTCACAATCTCTACCTCTTTTTGCTATAATCTTGTTTGATTTTTCACAACTGTAACCCGTTCTACCGTCGTCAAAAACAGCGTTATTATCAACATATTTCTCAGTAGAAGCCAATGAACATGATAATTCTTCTTGACTTGTCCGAGGTGCTTTGGATTGTCCACGTATGAAAAATCTACGTTGTCGTTTACGTGACGGATCTCGTCGGCAATGATCACTTCGAGAAACTCGCGTGTTCAACGCGTAACAGGATTCGTTAAAAGGACCTTCACTTTGATCATCAGTGTTAAGCGAAGATTCATCGACATCTTCAGAATGATCGGCCTGATAATTTACGGGTAGAACTTTGAGAACGTTGTGGGAAGCAGGTTTTCTGCACGTCCCGACACGTAGCAATTCCAAATCCGAGAAATGGAGTTTCTTTATCTTCTCGTCAATAAACGGATGATAAGGATAAGTTTCTGAAGTAAGGAGTACTGATGGATAACCAGATTCTGCTAAAAGTCAATCATGCGTTGTTAAACAAGCCATCAGTCTGTAACAATATTCACATCAAATCTCAAACCTTGTGAAAAATTCCCATGAGATGAAATGAAACCACTCGCACATTCCGGAGCCAAGAACGGATGACGAAGTGCGTCCATTGGTGTAAGACGCAAACCTAGAAAAAACACAATACGCATGACAGATATGAGTTCCATTACAGTGCATAAAGTTTAGGATTTTTTGCATTAAAAGGGATTGAAAGCCGGAAAAGGAACAATGGTGTTGCCCTATCGTCATGAAAACAATAACTTTGTTCAATTCTCTCAGCGATAAACGATGTGCACTTACAAGGGTCGAATGCCAAAAGTTTCGTCACAAAGTCAGCGAAAATGAAGTCAGTCGATTTCAATTTTTTCATAACGTTAACAACTTTTTCACAATGACCTATCAAGCAAAGTATGAAAAATAGGAACTGGGAAACATTAAAACTTATGATTAACTGCGCATGTGTACCGTGTACCAATGAGTTACGAGAAACATATTTCTTAAAATCTGTAAAATATTTTCCCTCCTGGTATGGAGACAAAGGTAGTGGTCCTAACAGTGAATGAATCTAAAACAGAGACGTTGTTTTTTGAAATGCAGCTTGCGTATTATTTTTGCCAAAACTACATTGCTTCCTTATATTTTATTTTTTCCACACAACTTTTATAGCTAGATTATCTTAAATAGCATTAACAAGTCTAACCAATATATTACAAGTCTAATCAAGAATATATTGAAGATCATACTTGCTCCAGTATTTCCTCTTTTGAAGTCGCGAGAAATAGCGGTTCTCCCAGATAAAGCTAAAAACAATTGAAAAAAACAGGCTAATTCTTATTTTTCTGCTATTCCCACAACTTTATACTTCATATAATTTGTTATAACTCATGCTGTTCTGCAACTTATTCTTTAAGCATACTGCTTCAAAACAAATGTCTCTAATGATTGGTTTAATGTTGAAGATGCTGCATTTAACAAAGAAATCAATTTTAGCTCTATATACAGTGCGGACCATATATGAATGATTTAGTATGAAAAACGCGTTGATGGGTGTAGAATGCTTCCCCATGTTCCAAATGTTACTATTTTCTAATCAAGTAGGGCTGATTAAATTACCAAGTATGGTCACACTGTCTATATACCTCTGCTAGTACACAAGCCAGCGACCACATGTCAATCTGATAAACAAATGGTAAGCCGAACATAACTTCCGGGGCTCGATAAAAGACAGTTTGTAATTCAAACGAGTCAAAATATAGAGACATCTGAGAGTAACAGAAAAAGATTATCCACATACATACAAATGTTGGCTCATAGCATGGACGAATTTTCTAGGGGTAGGGGAGTAAATTGACACTGGCCCGTATAGATTTCATGTCGTAATTAAATTGTTCACTTCTCTAAGAAATATTCTAACCCTTCAAATCTTTAGCAAAAAAATCAGTAGTGCAGTTGAGCTGAATTTTTTTGGACAAGGTTTCAAGTCTTCTACACCATTTTTACGATTTCTATGCTTCATCCATTGCGTAAATAGTTTAACATATGAATGAAATACAATTCATTTTACTTCAATTATCTTACCTCTTTGTGAACACAATAAATTGCATTGCCCAGGTCTATTAATTTGACGTTTTTTCTACTTGCTGTTAGATAAAACAATTGTACTTAGAATCGTTGTCATTGAATCCTTATCTAGAGTTTAATTTTATACACATACCATCTGTGAAGAGAATGTTTTCAGGCTTTATGTCAGCATGAATGATATTCAAACTAACAAGCAAATATAAATGAGTTGGTAAATGAAAAATACTATACCAATTGTGAGGAAAACATATTCATTGTACCTTGATAATACAATAAGACTTTGAGTTACCTGTTATGAAAAAAAGTACTTTTAATCCAGTAAATAAAATTGGAATTATCACAAAATAGAATTTATACAAATACTTGAAAAGCTATTCTTCGCAAAGAGTTCAATCTTTCCATCTGCAAGATAAAATACAAAATCTAAAATACAAAATATAAAATATAAAATATAAAATACAAAATAAATAAGTAATTAAAAAAGTCCTTGAAGACACTTAACTGGACATAAAACCACAAAATATTTTCTTACCTTGCTTTGGAATGGAAACATCTAAACAAAAAAGAATATACAAACAAGAAATACTAAATAATTAACAAATAGACATTTCTCCAGGGCAGGAAAATGTCCAATCAAAAACATGTAACCAATGTAATGTAGCATCATAACATTGTTTTACCTGAAAATACTTGTAAATGTGTTTTGGTAATAGGAATTTGAAGACTATGCAAAAATGATTTCCAATAGCAAACATATTCTACAAAACAGAGGAGCAAGAGTTGAAATTTATATTAAAGTCATAAGGTATTTATAAGAAAACATGTCGTTACCAAGAAATTAGCAATGTTAGAAACATTATAGGCATCAGAGTTCCTTAAATGAAGTAGACAACTTGCTTCCTACATGAATAATGGTAATTGATGACTATGTGCTGCTAGGTTTGTTAGTGAGCTGCAAATTTTGTAAGTGAAAAGTTTAATTTTATTAAATGTCTTTACCTATAAAATAACAGCATAAGGATATGTCGCACATGGCAGGGTTTTGTTTTACAAAAAACAAGTGATAAACACCCTTACTCTGTCACATTTTGTGAAACATCTTAACGATTTATGGTGACTGACACACAACAGGTAGTAAACGTCATGTTTGCCGGAGGTCCCAAATTGGCATAACTTTTGTGTAATATCTTTATTGCTACATATTGCTGCCTTGGATGATATGTATCCTACAGAGGGTATTAATAATGTTATGAAAACAACAAATTGCTTTGATAAAATGCAGGACAAATCAGTGTATGATATGCAATAGTATCACCATGGAGGAAAAAGGGGAGAAGCCCCCCCCCTGTCAGTTTTTCTCAAGATCAATTTTGACATTTTTCTAAATGTGAAGATAAAGGTGTATAAAAAAATTTCATCTTAAGCAGCCATATAAGATTTGCTTCTGTAAATGAGCACATATAACCAAGCCCCCTTAGAGATCTCATTCCTGAGCCACTTGCATCTCTCTTCCCTTCCTTAGTCTGAGCAACGTTGCTACATCAGAGATGATATTTTGCATTTAAGACACATCTGCCATCATAAAATGTGACCTAATCATTCACCTCTGCTTGTACCATCACAGATGACTGACCTTCACCAACATTTGCGATAACTTTGTACCGACCAGCAAGGACAGCTAAATATAGTTTTTCTTTATAAGAAGAATAGTAGCTGTCTTCAAAATTGATTAATCATTTAATATTTAGTGATTGGTTATTTTGGATAACATGAGTAACATGACCAAAATGCAAGACAGGGATTGCTATCATAAAGTGCAAGTGCCACATAGTGCATGGTAACGATATTGAGTATCAAGCATCAATCAAGAAAAAAGGAAAAAAGGAATAAAACCTCCAATTACTGGCTTAAACTTATCTTCTTTAAAACTGCTGTTGAGACACAACGACTTATTTATTTGTTTCTTGCTTGCTTTATCATCAATACTTGAATACAACATTTTAAGACCCACAGTCATTTGAGCAAATATAGAACGTTCAGAAGGATTCGGACAAACACACAATCGCTGAAAACAGTCCCTATATCGGAAAAGTGTTCATTAATCATCATTTGATTGATTTGAATAAATTACAAAGTTTTAGTTTTAGTCTCACAGACGAACTTTAACTATCAAACATACCTAGACTGGTGAGGAGGTCAAAAAGAATGCATATATTTTTTCGTTCCTTTCTTGTGTAAAATAAGCTCAAAATTTCATTGTCTATTCAAACGGCAAACAACCATCTTGCAAACACATTACAAAATCTAACATCTAACGATATATGTATCGCATCCATTTTCTGGCATATACAACCACAAATACAACCATCAAAATGAGGGTCTCCGCTGACCAAAAACGTGCCTACCTCTGACCTAACGACAACTGGACTAATCAGTAGAAATACTCCTAGCTAGATATTGCGCATTGGTGACACATGAAAAAAGTGGCGTTCTGTGTACTTATTATAATAATATATAACCATGCTCGTAAAAAAGTTTTATTAGAGAGACATTAATAGTTTAAGTTTAAACGAGTGACGAGAATGTTAACAGTGTTAAAGTGTTTAGAAAAATGTGGTAGAAATATAAAGTATGCCAGTTTTTGGCATATATAACCATGGTCGTAAAAACGTTTTATTACAGAGACCTTGTTAGTTTGAGTTTAAACGAGTGATGAGATGGCTAACAGTGTTAAAGTGTTTAGAAAAATGTGGTAGAAATATAAAGTATTCCAGTTTTTGGCATATATAACCATGGTCGTAAAAACGTTTTATTAGAGAGACCTTGTTAGTTTGAGTTAAAACGAGTGATGAGATGGCTAACAGTGTTAAAGTGTTTAGAAAAATGTGGTACAAATATAAAGTATGCCAGTTTTTGGCATATATAACCATGGTCGTAAGAACTTTTTATTAGAGAGATATTGTTAGTTTAAGTTTAAACGAGTGATGAGATGGCTAACAGTGTTAAAGTGTTTAGAAAAATGTGGTAGAAAAATAAAGTATGCCAGTTTTTGGCATATATAACCATGGTCGTAAGAACTTTTTATTCGAGAGATATTGTTAGTTTGAGTTTAAACGAGTGATGAGATGGCTAACAGTGTTAAAGTGTTTAGAAAAATGTGGTAGAAAAATAAAGTATGCCAGTTTTTGGCATATATAACCATGGTCGTAAGAACTTTTATTCGAGATATTGTTAGTTTGAGTTTAAACGAGTGATGAGATGGCTAACAGTGTTAAAGTGTTTAGAAAAATGTGGTAGAAATATAAAGTATGCCAGTTTTTGGCATATATAACCATGGTCGTAAAAACGTTTTACTAGAGAGACCTTGTTAGTTTGAGTTTAAACGAGTGATGAGATGGCTAACAGTGTTAGAGTGCTTAGAAGAATGTGGTAGAAATATAAAGTATGCCAGTTTTTGGCATATATAACCATGGTCGTAAAAACGTTTTATTAGAGAGACCTTGTTAGTTTGAGTTTAAACGAGTGATGAGAATGCTAACAGTGTTAGAGTGCTTAGAAGAATGTGGTAGAAATATAAAGTATGCCAGTTTTCGGCAAATATAACCATGGTCGTAAAAACGTTTTATTAAAGAGACCTTGTTAGTTTGAGTTTAAACGAGTGATGAGAATGCTAACAGTCTTAAAGTGCTTAGAAAAATGTGGTAGAAATATAAAGTATGCCAGTTTTTGGCATATATGACCATGGTCGTAAAAACGTTTGGCATATATAACCATGGTCGTAAAAACGTTTTATTAGAGACACTGTTAGTGTCTCTAATATTATTAGAGACACTTATTATTATTATTATTATTATTATTATTATTATTATTATTATTATTATTATTATTATTATTGTTATTAATATTATTAGAGACGTTTTATTAGAGACACTGTTAATATAAAGTATGCCAGTTTATTGCATATATAACCATGGTCGTAAAAACGTTTGGCATATATAACCATGGTCGTAAAAACGTTTTATTAGAGACACTGTTAGTTTGAGTTTAAACGAGTGGTGAGATGGCTAACAGTGTTAGAGTGCTTAGAAGAATGTGGTAGAAATATAAAGTATGACAGTTTTTGGCATATATAACCATGATCGTAAAAACGTTTTATTAGAGACACTGTTAGTTTGAGTTTAAATGAGTGGTGAGATGGCTAACAGTGTTAGAGTGCTTAGAAGAATGTGGTAGAAATATAAAGTATGCCAGTATGGGTCTAAGGAAGGAAACAAATGGCCTGTAGCCCGAATTAAAAATTTTTGGTCCAAAGCAGAACAAGCATCTTTTTGGCCGTTACACATACCGTTTTGTTCACCATCAACAAGAAAAAAGATTCCACTAGGTTTAATTAATGATTTATTTATGTCTTTTATTTTATGTCTATTTATTTATGTTTTCTAAACCATGTTTAAAATTGATTGGAATTCTTCCAGATGGCAACAACGATAAGAAAATGCAAGAAAAGGAATGAGATTAATATTTAGATATCTTTTTCTTCACCATCAAATCTTATGTGCAATTTCTGAATTTAGACGGAAAGCGCAGATTTAAATATCAAAGATATGTATGAAAAGGTAAATTTGAATTTTCACATGACGAAAGTTAAGATCTATATGTATCAAGATAAACAATACGCAATTAATACAGTAATTCTTACTTCTCTGGAAGACCTTTGCAAAGTGTTTTCATACGACAGTGGATCTTTTTAGGGGGAAATATGTGGTATAGTTTCTGGATTCAGGATGGCAAAAATGAGCTACAATTGTGAAATTTCTCAGGAATTGTTGCAATCCGCCAAAAGTCATCATCAACCTGTAACTCATGTATTAAGGTTCACATTTAAAGTTTATACTTAATTATTTTTAAAACATTTTACTTGTGATTACGTATTTATTGTATAGATCGAGTAAGATGGAAGCGATGGGTTTGCCTCAAGGCTATGATGCCAGTGAGCCAGGAAATATCTTTGAGGCGCTTAGTACGGATCCTGACAGGTTGAAACTTGATGCTTTCCTGTACGGAATTTCCCATCAACATCATTTAGCACTAGAGGTGACTTTTCCTCTACCTAAAAGATTTACTTAATAATACATTATTTCACATATAGATTTATCCTTAATAATTCAAATAAACTGAGATTTGATTATTATTATAGCGCACCAGACAAACGAATACGGAAACTGCAGGCAAGAGAATTGTGTCTGAAATTCATAATTTCCTGGAAGAAGGTATTATCGAATAACCTAATTAATCGCCGTACACACCATTTAATTCTACGGTTTTAAATTGAATAAAGTGATCATAAGCTTAATTTTCATACAACATGCCTTTCTGATAAAAGCTCAATTAACTTTTTCATAGATGTTGACTTGAAAGATACGCACTTCATGTGTATTGCTGGGGCACTTAGTGCATCGTTGGAGGTGTGGTGTCCTAAGTACGAGTTTTTTCAAATATATCTACCGTGTGTTTGCCAAGCTATGCAAGGAGTAGGCAGTGTGGCTTTTACTCTTTGTAAAATAAAGAAGGACCTGTTTGCATTCTTGGAGCCAAAATGGGAAAAACGACAAACTCGACACCCAACGCAGCATAAAAGTTTAAATTACAGGTTTTTTTCCCAACATTTCTTGCCAAATAAAAATCTGAGTGATTCTAAACTTTTGTGCCATACGTATATTAAGATGTTTGTATTTTTTTTATTTTTTCTCTAGGAGAACTTGGAATGGAGAAAATGAGAGGTTTTTTGTTTTAAAATATATTTTAGACACGCATAAAGAAAATAAGAATGACTCCTTTTATTCTTGATACGTTTTCATTTTGATTCCAGAGTTGCTTGTTTCGGTGGTATAAGCATTTACAAAAGAGATTTGAATACACTAAATGATAATAGTTGGGTATGCGACACCATCGTAGACGTCCTGTCAAGGCACTACCCAAAAATCTAGGTGTAGCTGAAATAAAGGACGAAAGTCACTCTAAATGCATGGCTAATGTGTCAAAACATTTACATTCTTATTTATAGGTACTACTGTAAATTAGCAGAAAAAAGAAATGCAAAATATTCCGCATTTAGCAATTTTTTTCAAAAGAAACTGTTAATAGATGGACCTCCGTATGTATTTTAAGTAGCAAATTTTGGTAAAATATTCACAACTTTCAACATTATCAAACTACTCACAAATCGTGTAAATAAATATCGCTGTATTTCCTACTTTTTAGAGGAGAAAGACCGCTGAGATTATCAGAATGTTTCATTTCAAGAGTGGGGATGTACACACCTGAAGCAATGAATAAATATGAATGTGTGCTAGTGCCAATATGTGACATGTAAGGGTGGAAGCACTAAATTTTTACTGCTTCATGATGCAAAGGCCAACATGAGCCAACTCCATGTTCATTTAAAAAATATAGGCTGCATTGGTGGCTCATTGCATACAATATTAGAGCAGGCAGACTCTATGTGTTATGCAGTATGGGGTGGCAAAAAAGTGAAGTTGCATCCAGTATACGAAGGTATATGACGTACATAACAATTTACTTGAAGAATGAAGTGTATCATGTATCTAACATGTTGACAAAGTGAATGTTTCTAGCACGTCTACACAAATCATTTTTCTTGTGAAAAGATATTTTCAGCATGTGAGGCAAGAGCAAAGATGGCCAGAAGACATTGCTCAAATTTCCCAACCTATATATGCCGACGTAAGTACTTATCATTTACAATGGCAACAGATCACGCTTAAATTGTCACAAAGGGATAACTTAACTATTGACGACAGGTGATACAACAAGCAAATGGTTATGACTGTGGCATATTCGTGACAGAATTTGCGAGAAGAATAACAGAGGGGTAAAGTTCAGAAAGATATCATGATTCTTAATCACTTTGTTTACTCTGTTCATATAAAGATAGTGTTGTTTTGATAGGAGAAGTTGGTCCTGGATACTGTCGATATCCATGTAAATAGTAAAGACCATACCTTAAAAAACTGATTCGAAGCTTTGCCATTTAGCGAAGCAATTTGTAATGAAGCAGAATTTAAGTTTAAAGCTGGTGCGTATAAATAACATTCTTATATTTATAACAAGTGATGTAAATAATTTTTTTACAAGTAACGACGTTACATATAATTGTTACTTTTGCAGAAACTATATGGGTAACTATGAAGTAATATTTTGTACAGATAAAACTATTCATAAAAACAAGTTTAAATTTTTCGAAAAACGAAACTATAACGCGTTACTAATGAATAACGCGACTAAGAGTGAGAAAATAGTCTTTGTAGGCTATTTCTCTCTCAGGATTGTATTTAACAATGCGTAACATATTCCTGTGCCAAATATGGAGTTTTGTGAAAAGAAAAGTTATCGTATTCCATGTAAGAAACCATGGAGGCAAGAGGCTTAATACACGAATTGCACTGTTCAGCAGCTTGGCTATTGTACATATTGAGCATGGGGTACAATTTCATGTTATATCCTTCGCAGCATCCTACACATAAAGGACGGTTATAAATCAACAAATTTTGTGAAAACATAAAAACGGCCATTTTTGGATCAATAAGTTCGCTTCAAGTAAAATAGGAAGAGTATGGCAGTTTACCTGAATGATTTTTCCAATGAAACTTATCAACAACAAATTTTGTTTTCTTAAAAAAATGCTGGATCTCGGTTCAAACAATACTAGTGCAATCTGCAGGCATTATCGTAAATGACCAACTCTGGCGCTAAAGAAATAAAAATACATAAGCATATCATCAGGAACATTCGGTTATGTTACTGCACATTCGGTTATGTTACAACTCTGTCAGGCGACTAAACCGTCACGCAATCTGTCTGATTCACTGATAATACTCTGTTTGTAGCACCATAAAAGGTACACACATACGTAACTTACCATCAGGAAAACGTGTTCGTAAAATGGTAAATGGGATGTTTGGTGATTCGTGATCTCTCGCCTGTTGATGAAATTGCATTTCAAACCTAGTATTGGACAAAAGAAAACAGGTTGTTATTTTTATAACTATAAGCTGTGTACAAAACAAAGTGAGAGAAGTCACCATCATGTATAAAATGCTTTCTGATACGTAGATGAACACTCGTATTTACTAATTAGCAGACCTGTATATACTATATATTACAGATAAACTTCAAAAATACTTATCTTCCATCTAGCAATCCAGTATCAGACTCTCTTAAATTATTTGGTAAGAAAGTTTTCTGTATTCCAAGAGTTGTTCCATCCATCACCACCTTTTGGGGAATTCTTCCACATAATTCACAAAAAAACCCATTGTCAAAATCAATATTAAGCAACCTTAACAAGAGAAAATTCAATAACTTAATAAAACAAGCGATCACTATCTCAATGGAATATTCATATTTTACAGCTGAAAATGAAATGATGCTTACCGTATCATGGCAATGATAGCGAGACAAAACTTGGCGTAAGTTGTTTCCTTTGGGAAATTAAAATTACCCGAAGACACTTGCCTTTGTACATACGCAACATAATATTTGTACATAGGTAAACTGACAAGAATAAAAAAGAAAAAACATTCAAAAGAGATAGGGCGAGAAAATTAAATAATGGACAAACGTAGCTACTAATGCTTTGGCAAATTTTCATTAAAAAGTACCTCGACGTTATGAAAAGCAGGATGTAATCTTTTAGAACGGCATGAGATATTGCATATGATCCAAACCATACAATCCTGTTTTCAATGCCATCATAATGCTTTTTCGTAGCACAAGAGGAGCAAGGTCTACAATACACTAAATAATTTATTTAAGTCAAATAATTATGAAGCAAAGCGCAACCTATAACAAATCAGAACTTACCCTTCACATCATGGATTGAATAAAAGTACGCAACTGAACACACGCCTACGTACAACCATTCATCTTGAATAGAACGTTTATCCCACTCTACACCACAAGAACAAATACCACTTTCAGATGGCGCCAAAATTTTATGACCATTTTTTTCAGGAAGATCAGTAAAATCGCTTGCATCATTCTCATTGCCTAAAATAATTAAATTGTAATATTTACAAAATGATAAAAAGTGGTAAATACCATACCAATAAAGGAAATAGTATATGTAAAGCTAAAAGGATGTTCACCATTGCAGAATATCTTGCATACCTGTTTCAAATAAAGAAACCTTTTCTTTGCTAAGTGTAGCCAATTCAAAATAGTCTCGCATCTCTGGTGTAATTCCAAAGGAAAACTTAAAAAGTGCCAATGGCGAATCCATTTCATCCTCTTCAACGATTTCCATGGCTTTTGCAAGGGTTGTCACATGAATGCAATGATATGGCGAACAGCTGCAACATTTTAACTCGGGCTGGGACGGCGTTACTTTTGAATACACAAAAGTACAACCCCCCCATGGACTATTCACTGGTTTTACAGCAATCCACTGAACCTCCCTGCACACTACACTAAACAAGTCCTAAAATATGTAAATCATTTATCTTAAGGTTGTATTATGTGTTTGTATGTATGTGTGTGTATGTATGTGTGTGTATGTATGTGTGTGTATGTATGACGTGTGTGTATGTATGTGTGTGTGTATGTGTGTATGTTTGTGTATGTTTGTGTGTGTATGTTTGTGTGTGTGTATGCAGATTAATAATTATAATTAATTATGACTTCACAAAATCCTTAGAAAGTGCTTAATATATATATCAGGCACGTAAAGCAAATGGCGAATATGACTATTTTTATCATACATTTAGTTTATACTACTTAATGTATGTACTGTAGGTATGTGGCTATGTATGTGAGTATGAATGTGTATACCTCAATAGTCATAAATAAATTCCATTTGCCCTGTTGGTTATCACCCTAATAGCTTTATAGAAGCTCCTGAACTTAGGCACAGGATGTATGGTAACAAATTGTGGGGTATTAGAAGGTTGAGAAACTATATGTGTATTTGTACAAAAAAGTTATTTTCACATAACAAAACATACTTCTTCAGGTTGCATCTCATTGTGGGAATGATCACTGAAAACAGACTGCATCATGGATGTGGATTCTGCATTCATAAAAGAAATTGGATGAGATAAATATATTGTGTAAATAATCATTCACAAGTTTTAACAATATTTTTGCTTGTAAAGCTGTGCTGGTTAACGTCCACATGTAATAAGAACAATGTCGAACAAGGGTCTTGTAAAAACACAGAAGGATGACTTCACAAGGGTTTGAAAGGTACAATAAACTGATATTTAAGGATGAAGACATTTCCTCCCATACCACATGAAGAACTTTACATTGAAAAATAAGCCAAATACAACTTTGAGACATTCACTTCATGCAATGTCAGATTAATATGCAACAAGTTCTCACATCTTTGACAAGGGTCTTCAAACAAATAGTACGTAAATGTAAGTCAAAATTTGGTGAAGTTGTTCAGACACCTTATATCCTGAAAGAGTAACACACACACTTACTTTTTCAATAAAATCTTTGGCTTCAATACCAAACTTTCTATCATACACAACCAGATATTTTTACATTGCTAATATGTGTATGCAACTGGGATATGGTATATCTGACAAGTACAAAATGTTGTTTGGCCTGTTTTAATAATTTCATTTCAGTAACATCTATTTTACATACCTTTTTGTTTGTATTATAATCATGAAAAATCTTTGTATTATAATTATTATAATCTTTGTATTATAATCAATAAAAAGAACACTTTAAAAATTCCTACCGCATCATCTTTTGCGTGTTTCCTTTCTTCTTCACGTTATTGTAAAAGAAGTCATTTGAGCGTCTGAATTTCTTCCTGAATTGATACATTTTGCAAGTGTACCCAAAAAATAATACCCCGATTTATAAAAACCAGTACTAGAATTAGTCTAAGTACCATTCTCCCAGCCAGACTTCTCCGATAGATATTCAAAAAAGTACTAAGCATAGTACTGAGTGACTGAGCCCTGTTGATCGATTTCCTTGCTTCGAACTTTTGATGTTGCAAACTCCTAAAAAGTATGAATACAGGAAGAAATATTGTTCTCATACATGAACTTTGAAAAATGTAGTAAATGGAAGCCCTGAAATTTCTTTTTGAAGCTGCACCGGTCGGATGGTTGTATTTGTGGTTGTATATGCCATTTTCCGGCAGCGAAACATACCACACGTCCGTTGGCCGCCATTTTTTTGGCGACCTCGCCCCAGTAAAGATAGCCGCTCCAGTTATTATAGAACTCAATGGCAAGCGCGCTTGTCTTGGTAAAAAGAAATTTTTAAGGTGTATTTAATCCACTTGACTCATCTTACAAGTGTAGCAAAGTGAAACCGAAAACCACGACAGTAAATCGCGTATAAATAGCAAGCATTTCAACTTTAAAGACAATTTAGACAAAAGATTACATTGACATTGTTTAGAACAGAAAAATTTAAACTGATTTTGCTCAGAGATTGATCCAAAAAATTTTTGTTCGATAAAATGCTTGGGCAAGCGGCGCTTGCCTACGCTTGCATGACCGCACGCCACTGCTTTCTTATGCCCAACATTAAATACAAGATTGCAAAATAGCTGTCATAATTTATGGTCTTTGCTTCGTTCTTCATAATCAGTATACGAAGTATTCTTGGTAGAGATAGAATAATCGGCATTGGCTAGACTGCAGTTTAGCGGACAGCCGGACACCCGAAGCGCTTATATGCGGAGTGCGGGCTTGTTTTTGCTTTGGATTTTACGGTTAGGGTTTGGGTCAGCGTCAAAAGTGTCCGCTAACCCGCAGTAGTCCCTCGGCATTTTTATCAAATTTTTACAAATATCGACAACAAGAAGTGTAGTTTCTTGAATGAAAGCATGGAAATCAATATTTCTCAAATACCCTTTTTCCATACTTTATTTCACAAATTACTTTAGTGATATGCAATAATTACTTTAGTCATATGCATAAGAAGCCACGTGTACAGTGACAAAGCCAGCCCGATATTTCACTCCTATAATGAAATTTTAACAAAAATTAATTTCTTTGTAAAGGTTAGAGCGTGATCACGTGTGTTTATGGGATTAAGAATCCCGAGCATTAGATAGAAATTTTACGAGGGCGCAGCACTAGAGCGATGCCAGTGGAAATATTAACAGCAGTGTGCAAATTTACTAACACATTAAAAATTATGAACTTACATTTTCCTCAGACAAAGACCTTTTACTACTTTTGTTTTAAAACATAAAATATTCTAGTGAAAGATAACATTAACAGATGCAGGATGAGACTTGAGATACAGTTTAAAAAAAGGTAAATATTTTCGTGTTACCATTAGAATATCAAACTATGCTTAGGAATTATGTCAAATCTTTGTGATTATATTTGCAACACCCTTTTACCTATGACATTATCTAAATGTACAAAAGCGTACAAAAAACGCCCACAATATCTCTTTATACTCACATTACGATCAAATAGCTTTCGTAATATCCCTTTCCCAAGACGTAAAATATGGTTTTCATCAGCAACCAAGTGATTAAAAATTCCCATGTCAAGTGCTAGCATTTCCTACAAGTTTTCTGTCGGAATAAAGACGCATTTCCTTCGTTTGTATATTTAGAATAAAATAGTTTACTTCTCATGAGGCCCGTTTACACGGTAATCAATTTTGGCACGGCACTCCAAATTTTAGGTACGCGAACCTGTTTTCTTGAGTGCGGCTCTCCAAATTTTTCTCGTGTAAACGGATAGCAGGCCTAAAATTTAAGGACCGGGTGCCTTGAAATTTTAGCGTGCCGGGACCTCCAAAAGAGGTAGTCTCGGCCCGTCAAAAAAGCGGCACCGTGCCGAGTTTTTAGCTATATCAGCAAAATGAGCAATAATAAGCGCGAAAAGGAAATGGCGGGAATTAAAATAAACAAAGATGGCGGCGACACCAAAATGCATGAAATGGAGTGATGAAAAAACAAGAAGTCTAATAACTCTTTGGTGCGACGAAAATATACAAATTGCATTGGGTAATTCAAAAGGATCCAAAGATAAAAGCAAGGTTTACAAGTCCTTATTGGTAAGCCATTTTATTGTGATATCAGACATTGTATTAGCTTCGACTGTGAATCGACTCGTATAGATTTTACATACGCTGTGCACTGGCGTTAGTGGAACGTTATTTGGCTGACCATATTCATGTATTCTGCTATGCCAAGCTCTTTTTTGGAAAGTGGTATCCTATTCAAAAGAAATTAGCCAGGCATAGTACAACATATGAATACTGCACCTTTCAATAGTTCATTGATGCCATTGAGGCTGTACGTTTACGTATCTATAACCTTTATTGACAGTGCGTGTTATTGTAAGTTGTTCATTTACAACTTATATTTCCTACATAGTAGGAATAAATTGCCACGAACGCATTACTATTTTGCTTGGTTCAATGCATTATTGTTATTTAAAAAAGGTGCAACATGTTATTCATTTTAAAGGAGCAATTACAAGAAAGAGGCTATGAAGATATTACACTAAAAGAAGTAATTAATAAAATTAAGAAATTGAAGCAAAAATATAAAAGTGAAAAGACAATGCTAAGAAGAGTGGGAATGGGAGAAAAAGCCATGGAAATACTTTCAACAGTTGGATAGATTTTTATCCCAAAGACCTAATGTGACTCAGTGGTTTTACTTGACATCATGGCTGAGGCTGATAGTCAAAAAAATAGTCAGTCGGACATGTTGAGAGATGATGTTGATGATGAAAATGATGACATCATTAATGGTATTATTTTGAAATGAAATGTTTTCACATTTTGCTTAATGATGATAATATGATCTTGTCACAAAACATTTTTTGCTTTTAATCTTAAAGATATTATCAGTAAGTATGGTAGAGGTGATAAATCCATCAAAAAATGCCAGACATGTGATTATGAAAAAGTTATATATAGTGATGGAGCACACACAACAGAATGGATGTATGATGGTATACTGTGAAGAAGAACCATTTTCTTGCCCAAATTGTTACAGTTCAAATGAAACAGGTAATATTTGTATGGAAGACAATTTCTGTTTGTTATTTCATCAAAACAAGATATGTGCCCCAGCTATCTAGTAATTGTTTTTAAAATTAATTAAACTTTAGTTAATGTGGAAGTAAATCAACAGACTGTAGCTGAGAATCGAGCTATTGAATATGATAAAGGGAATGACAAACCAAAGCCAGACTTAGGAGAAAAGAGTCTTGGAAACACTTACAAACTAGGAAAGAAACAAAAGAAAAAAAGGAGTTCTATTGAAAAGAGCATGGATGCTGTCCTGGAACAATTCAGGGCAATGTCAAATGATGATTTTGAAAAGTATATTCACCTTCTTTATATATTGCTTGTATTTTTTGCATTTTTGGTAAAAAATACCAGAAACGTTTGATTTGGACATCTACCCCTCAGATGTATTCAGCTTTGACAATGTCTGTCACAATCATGATTTGATTATAATTTTGTAGGTATAAAAAGCTTGAAGAATTTAAATTGGAAAAAGAGCAGCAATTTCAATTAGAGCAAATGCGACTCGAGAATGAACGAAGAAACCAGGAAAGAGAGCATGAGCTAAAGATCTTCCAATTGTTATTTGGGAACCAGGCTACCCAGAACATCCAATCTACTGGCAGCTCATCACTAATGTTTGCCCAACCATATGTAAGTTTTCAACAACAGACATTTGGAAATGGCTGCACCAGTATCCAAACTCCAGGCTGTAGCTTCGTAGACAGCAATGATGATGAAGAAAAAACATATTTCAGGTTATGATTTAAAGTATTTGAAGTACTTATGGTCACTTGAGTCTTTTAGTTCTGTTTTGAAGTTATATTTGTGGAACTGTTTAATACTATCTGAACATTAAATACAATATTTGAACACTCATGAATCTTATGTTGTATGTTGCAATAATTAACTTAATTGAATGTTTTGAATATTTCATTGTGAGTCAAAATAGTCAGCTAATATTTCTCGAATGTCTTCACCATCGTCCTCAATTACATCACTGGTTGGTACCACAAGTTCTTGGTCAACGTTTTCTTCCCATTGTGGCAGAAAGTTGTTATTTTGCACTTCACAAATATTATGCAAAATGCAAGATGCCAACACAAGAATCACCAAATTCTTCACATTCATATCGACCCGCTTACTAAATCTGATAAAGCGGCCTTTCCATTTGCCAAATGTGTTTTCGACTGTCATTCGCGCTCTGCTTATACGATAGTTGAAGACTCTTTGTTTTCTAGTTAAAACACCTTTAAGAGGATAACCTTTAAGAGCCACGGCAGCAATGGGTACGCAGGATCCGCCAAAATGACAGGGATAATTCTTCTCCGTTTATTTCTTTCTTAAGATCAGGGGGGAACAGTTTACCTTCGTTGCCTTGCTTGTAAATAGCAGAATTTGAGAAAACCCGTGCGTCATGAACGCTACCAGGCCATCCAATGACAACATCACGAAACAAATAATTACAATCAACACAAGCTTGCATGATTATACTGTGAAAACCTTTTCTATTCACGTAATCTTCATGGCTCTCAGTGGGTGCAATTATTGGGATGTGAGTACCGTCTATTGCCCCAGCACACATAGGAAAACCCCATTTTCGGTAGTATCCATCAATAACTTGATGTATGTCTTGTCCACGTGGAAATGTAATAAACTTTGACATTCGTTTTGTAATAGCACGACTTACGTCTCTGATGCATATGCACACAAACGATCGAGAAACTCCAAATAAGTTTGCTATTGTTTTATATTCTGCTGTGGACGCAAGGTAGTACAACGTAAGCGCAAGTCGTCTCTTCGCCGTTATTGCTAATCGCATGGAAGTATTTTTGTGCAGTATGCTATGCCTAACTTCATTTAAAAGAAAATTGAATGTTTCTTTTGTTACTCTGAAATTTGTATACCAAAGGTCATCGTCAAAATCCGAATCAACCATATCAAACCAAGCAAGTGATCGTGGGTTCATCCATAATGCCCTCGTTCGACGACTGTTAATAGCTATCAAAATCGCATTCATGAAAAAAAGTAGAGATTTACTCCTTGCATCAGTCCATGACTTGCTTTTCAGGAGTTTTTTCCCGTGCTTTTTCCTGAAATTCGTACGCTTGCGGATATAAATCAACCATACCAAATATTTATTTATTTTATTTAGATTATTGAAAGGCGCCATTTTGAATAAACCGCCAAATTGACGTCATTTACAGCAAAATGGCCCGCTGACAATTGGAGTACCCCGAGGAAATTTACGGCCTGCCAAACTGAGAAAATTTGCTCGTGTAAACGCAAATCAAGTGCTATAAAAATGAGTTCGCGTGCCTAAATTTTGGAGTACCGTGCCAAAATTGATTACCGTGTAAACGGGCCTATGGTTTCACCAAACAGATATAAAAATAAAGTAGATGGCTTTGTATTGTCACCTAATATTATCGAGATTACATCTATCTTCATCAAATTTCTTTTTGTAGTTTTAAATACATTCTTGACAAGTTATATTATTGTCGATTTCAGTTAATTTTTCAAATGGCGGTTGCCAAGTTACTTTCTAATGTTGCCAGCTACGTTTCCAAATATGGACTATTCGATATGAACTTGTCAACTTGAGTTGACAAGTTGTGTACTTGAGTACTGAAGTTGTGAACTAAACGCGAAAGGTCTTTGTACCCTGTAGACATTTGGCAATGAATCCGTTCAGTAAGCAAGGAAAAGCTTTAATATCGCAAAGGCGTGTTTTGTTTGTCCTCCAAAGCACTTATTGTGCGTGCTCAAACAACCGATATTTGATTTTTCATTGTAATGCGTGGAGTTCTGCAAAGAACAAACGCTCTTTATGCATTGACAATATCAAAAGTTGCTAGTCTTTTTCCTGCGCATGTGCAAATTGTAAATATTAAGTGGTGCAAATTTACATTTTCCCCATTCGCCAAGTGTTAGAATCGTGAACATATCTTGTGTTTTAAGTTAAGAAGACAGAGAGCTTGAGGTAAGCTTATCTCTAACATAAAATCCTGGTTGTATTTTATCTACTTTTTTATATTGTCCTTTTAAGTCGTACCCATGTAATATGTCTGTTATGTCAATAGAATAGCCAATAACCCACTTGAATAGGTCAACACGTACGTTCTCATCGACGCTCGTTTGTGTGACTGCATGAAATAAAAGTGTTGTTATTATTACAAACATATAGTCTGAAGCATAGACATTTGAACGAATTTGCTTTAAAATATAATTATCAAGCGCTGTCGAGAAGAATTAATTACTTGTTCGATGACAGCGAACGGCGCGTAAGTTGTTGTTCCCAAATTGTTTACGTTCGTTTTCACTCTTATTTCGTCGTTCTCCAGGGCAGATCTAGAGTATGTCAAATCCGTCGTGCGACTGATGTTTGAAATTCAAAAATTACCTATTCATATTAATTAAAAAATCATTAATTATTCTTACTTTATCATCGCATTTAAATTAGGTCCGCTTTGTTTACACGTCAGTTTTTTAAGCGGGCCATTTTTTTAATAGGCACGCCTGATTTATAAAAACGGCCTGCATATTTTACGTTCATATTTTACGTTATGTTTACGTTCGTTTTCACTCTTATTTCGTCGTTCTCCAGGGCAGATCTAGAGTATGTCAAATCCGTCGCGCGACTGATGTTTGAAATTCAAACTGTGTATTTTACGTACATATTTTACGTTATGTTTACGTTCGTTTTCACTCTTATTTCGTCGTTCTCCAGGGCAGATCTAGAGTATGTCAAATCCGTCGCGCGACTGATGTTTGAAATTCCAAAATTACCTATTCATATTAATTAAAAAATCATTAATTATTCTTACTTTATCATCGCATTTTTATTAGGTCCGCTTTGTTTACACGTCAGTTTTTTAAGCGGGCCATTTTTTTAATAGGCACGCCTGATTTATAAAAACGGCCTGCATAGAGTATGAGCCCCCAAAAATAAGTGTCGGCGGATGACAAAAAAAATTAAATTTGGCGGATTATTCGAAACTTCAAACATGGCGAACTTACATAATGATAAGGTAAAGATAGCTTTAGCTTGGTATATGCACTTCCGAAAACAACAGCAAACCGTTCAAACGAGGTTTAGAAGCTGCGTTTCTTCAGGAGTATCATGTCTTAAGAGAAATAAGCGTCGATTTGCCTTAATCAAAGCAGTACTGGCCTATTTGCATAAACCACGAGAAAGGTTGTTGTGGATGCATCCACGTTCACTAGTTTGGTTTGATATGGTCGATGAACTCTACAACGATGAACTGTGGTACGCAAATTTTCGCGTGACAAAAAGCACGTTTGAATTATATTAAACAGGGTTCGTCAAGAAATAGATCGTAAAATTACTCCCATGCGTAATCCAGTTTCTGCAAAACGACGCCTGGCCATAACGTTGTATTATTTATCGTGTACAGCAGAGTATCGAACTGTTGCTAATCTTTTTGGCGTCTCGCGTTCATTAGTGTGTCAGTGCATTAAAGAAGTAAGCTGTGCAATAATAAAGCACTTTCCCAAAGCAATCACTTTTCCTAAGGGAGACGACCTCTTTCAAGTTTTGCAAGGTTACGAAGAGCAGTGGGGTTTTCCTATGTGTGCTGGTGCAATAGATGGCACGCACATACCAATATTAGCACCAGCTAATAGCAACATAGAGTACGTGAGTCGTAGAGGTTTTCACAGTATCGTGATGCAAGCGGTCGCTGACTGTAATTACATGTTCCTGGATGTGGTTATAGGATGGCCTGGTAGCGTCCATGATGCGCGAATTCTTTCTAACTCTACACTTTTCTGAAATGGAAATAAGAAACCTCTTTTCCCTCCCGACATTATGAAGGAAATTAGCGGAGTGGAAATAGCACCGTTTCTCCTAGGTGACCCAGCTTACCCTCTCTTGTCGTGGTTGATAAAGGGGTATCCTAAAAATGGGGCTACTGAGGAACAGAAGTTTAACTACCATCTTAGTCGTGCAAGAATGACCGTGGAAAACACATTTGGGAGATGGAAAGGACGCTATGCAAGATTTAGTAAAAGGCTAGATATGGAAGTAGCTTCTTCAGTCGATATTATTCATGCATCATGCATTTTACATAACATGTGAACTTCAGAAGAACGAATTCATGCCCGACTGGGATTCGGTAGAAATTGTTGATGATGCTTTTGTTGTGGTGCCAATTGATGAAATAGAACCAGAAGATGCTCACGATATTCGTGCTGCTTTATCAAACTATTTTTCTTAAACAGTTCTTTAATATTCGTTTGAAATTTAACGTTACATGAATTCAACAATTCCACAAAATGTTGTTACCAAAATCATTTGAATGAGGTTAATATTGAAATAACAAATAAAATTAAATTTGAAAGACACTTGTAAGTTGTAAAGACCCTGCATTTTGTTATCGTGCCGTTAAACGACTGACATAACCTGTTAAAAAGCAGTTACTGAAATATTTAAAACATGTCCACCTGTTCAGTGAAAAGCAGGTAAAGAAAACGAATATAATGAAGAAATATCAGCAGTTTAAATGATAACAAAGTATTACAATTGCAAAAAGGTTTTTTCTGTGTTTGAATCACTTTGAACGCTGCTGTCACGTGGATATACTTGTGAACCAAATTGATCAACACTGTACCCAATATGATAATTATGTTGTTGGTAACCATTTATCGGAGCAGAAGGCTGTTGAGCTGGTGATGATAACATCATACGCATCATATTTAGCTCATGTGCCCGTTCCTCTCTTCTTCTCTCATTTTCAAGCTGAATTTGTTTTAATCGAAATTCATTTTCTATCAATGCGATCCTGTTCAAACTTCTGATACCTAAAGACAATTTACAATGACAGTAACAAAAATGTCGTAATATTTAAATGCGCGAGAATATTTCATATGCGATCATCATTTTGTAATTTTTCGGTTTTTTCCCTAAAATATTAAATTTAGCAAGACCATTTTCTAACAAATTTGCATTTGTCAACTCAAGTCACAGAGAGGTGCCAACATGTCAACACACATATTCATGCACGTTCGAAATATACAGTACCTCATTCCTTGCATTAATCTGTAAATAAATCCCTACTCAGCACATATGCGTTTCATATTGAGACTCGTACATGATTTGTTCAATACCTTTCAAATTCAGCTGCTGACGACTGTCCAAATTTTGCAAATATAACCTCTAAGCTTTTCTCTACATTGCTTTTTCTTTTTTTACGGGGCAAACTTGGGGCCGTTTCACGATTTGACTTTGTTTCTTCTGTCGATGGTTTTTCTTGACTTCTTCTCATGTTTGTGACTGGATTAACTTCTTTTTGGAAATTCATAACTGGACAATTGTCGTTTCCACCGTTATCATTAAAGCCTTTTTTAGCAACAGAAATTTCGTTTGTTAAACATCATTTATTACAAACATTATTGGGGGAAGCTAGGTGTCAGAAGTTTATTTCACAAACTATATCTCATATGAGTCAAGTATTGTACCATAGTGTAGAGTTCAACCTGACAAAAAAAACAGAATATGGGGTAAAATGGTGCATTACACCGGTAAGGCGTACCAGAAATGTTTTCTGGCTGTTGCTTGTCATTTTCTGAAGAGCAATTTGGGCAAGAAAATTGGTCGTCATTGGCGTACACAATAACCGCCCCATTTTCAGTTACATGTACCCCACCACTTTTTAACTCTTCTTCGTAATCACAGGTAGGACACTTTTGAAGATGAGATTCACCTTTGCCATACATATTGATCATATCATTAACTTTAAATACAATAAACTATGTTTGACAACAATTTTAGTATAAGTAAGTAAAGTAAGACTGAAATCTGAGTTTTCTAGCCACCCAAAATACATGACAATGCAAAACGTTTTGCAATGATGTCATTAACTTGAAGTTTTTTTATCAAGTCTATGTTGTATGTACAGCAATTCAGTCTTGCAAAACACATTAAATCAACGATATAAGATAAAATATTGTTATTTCAATTACAATAATGGTGAAAAATTCATGTCTTTTGATTGTTTTGAATTTGTCTGCTTATCAAATTTTATATACTCTATTGCGTTTTCAATGATTAGAAAAGTGTGAACAGGTTTAGGCTTTAAGTTTCAGTTTGAAAACAAAAGAATAATAGTGTTGATTATTCAAGCACATAAAATGCCATAACATACGAGCAAATATGATATTTTTTACAAAAGTGGTCACTCCATTTAAGTGAAAATATTTGATTAGAGATTGTTAATGAAAGGTGGTCACAAAACGCAGAAATTTCACAAATCATATTTAGCTGTAACATTAAAAATGTTTTTATTTTGAAAAAGATGACTTCATCTATACCTTGGTCGAAACTGCTGTCCTCTAACCTTCCCTGTTCTCCATCATCAAATTCATGCACACCTTGTTCATCACCTTCTGCCATAGTGTCGATGATTTTTAACGGATTGACGTTGTGTCGTACAGTTAGAAAAGCATCAATCTCGTTAAAAAACTTCCACTTTTTTACGACACCCATTCCTGTTTGCCGTGACCTATCTTTTTCTTTCCTATATCTCTGGCGTAATTTCTTTATTTTATTTATCAATAAAATAAAGAAAGGTAAACCCTTTATATCCATTTTCTTTTAGGGTAAACCCTTTATATCCATTTTCTTCCAACTGAGACTGTAAAACAACACAGAATAATATATTGCTTTATATTATTGGCATATAAATAATAACAACTGCGTTCAAACTTTAGTTCAAGTGAAGGCAGTGGTTAGGCAATTATAACTTCTGCAAGATTGAAAATTCATTCGATCATTGCATCCTTTGGCATATATAAATTTAATGATAAAGCTGAATGAATTGAATCATGATATCCAATTAATAAGCTGAATGCATGTATATCCAGTTTCAAAACGTATGGCAGAAAATGCTATGTTAATATTTCATTAAGACTGCAGCATGGTTTGTGCATTTATGTATTTGTCTCCATATTCACACACTTTATATTTTAATATTTATTAAAAACATTATAAATGAACAGTTACTTTAATGACTCACCAGCAATATTTTATACACGTTAGACGTTGCCCGCACACTTTTGCATGCATCCAATGATACTTGAATAGTTTCCTCTGCCCACAATGATATTAAACAATGTGTTGCTTCGTCCGACCATTGCTTTCCTCTTGTTTTAGCCGCCATCTTTCTTCATAATGCGCGTGCGTAAAAAATTTGGGCCCGCGTGCCATGTTTTTGGCGTGCTGAGACTACCTCTGGAGAAGGTCTCGGCCCGCCAAAATGTTTTGGCACGCCGGCCGTCTACGTAGCCGTTTACACGTCAAAATTTAAAGGGGAACTCCACCCAAAAATAATGTTGGTCTTAAAAGTTCCATTTTTATGCAAAGGTTACTATATTTTTGAAATTTTTACATCAGCTATTTTATTTTTGACAAAATCGCGTCTTCAAGTGCGCTATTTGAGCTGTTTTGAGGCTTAGCAGCGTGGGCACAGAAAGCGTCAGCGGAAATTATTTTGACGTCATATCGTCAAACCGATTTGGAGTTGTGTTTACAACAAAGTAAAATAATAACGCACAGCCTAGCACAAAACAAAACAATCGCTTATAATGGCTTTTGGAAGAACCTCGGCCTAATTCACCAATCGATAGTGAAATGGAAGACAATCCAACAAACAATATTCGGCCATATCAGTTTGAGCCCGAATGGCCGGCTGATGAACACGAAGAAGCTCACCAGTTTGAGGATAACGAAGAACAGGGAATTGTGTATATTGACGATGAATCTCGGCGCGACAATCTTGAATGGTGGGTAGTAAAATGTTATATTATTCTAGACCATTGTTTCTATCTCAAAAGTACGTTTTCAGTTTTGAAGTTGACCACGTCCACACACATAATACTTTAGATTTTAAAGTTTTTATTGTAAGATACAATTTTATTGAAGTTTTGACATTTACTTTTCAAGATCCTTTCTTTTAACATATTCAGGTGTCAATGTGGTAACTGCCAAATAATGGATAATAACGAGGAATGTTTATGCTGCAAAGAGATTTCCAATATTTGTGACAAAAATTTAGAGGCAGTAGAAACGAATGAGACCACCGAAGTCCCTTTGTGCATTACACAACATCCTGGTTTTGAGCCTGTTTGTCTTAACAGGTGGGTTTTACAAACAGCTTGGTACCAGTACAAGCAGCAATATGAGGTAGCATATGATGGGCCAGAGGACAAACTGTACCGCCATATTGCATATAGACAGTTGGCAAGATGGTGCTGGGGTGTCTTGGGTAGAGAAGTGAGAGTCATCTTGCCATCATGTGCAGTTACTGCATTAGAGAAACATTTCCTCCACCTGGCCTTGCAGAGGAATTTCAATTTGAAGGCTTTCACTATGTTGATGAATGAAGTATTTTATTATGATATAGGTATATACCCATTATTACTTTGTATGTCAATATTAAAGTGGCATAGCCAGCTCATTTATAGGTCATGCTATGCACATTTATTATTATTAATTTATTACAAAAAACAGATTTACAAAGAAATGATTATAAATGTGGCTTGGCTATTACACTGGTTATAATATAACTATAATTAATTACATGAATAGTTTGTGTAATGCAGTGGTGAAACTAGCTATAGCAAAAGGTTTTGCTATGTTAATATTTAAGAATGAACATTTTTAAGTAGTACAAAAGTTGTCTTCACTGATTCAACATCATATTATATGGGTATGGCAAAACCTATTGCCATAGCTAACATCACCACTGACATTTTATGCAAATCTAGACTGATGTTCCTTTACAAGTACTTCTTTCCTGGGTGGACATGATTTAGAAATGTTCTTTGGAAGATTCTCGCCATGATGTACAAGTTCAATCTCCTCAGTTTTGCATGCATTCACAACCTCCGCAAGTAGTTTATCAATGTACTGGTACTTTTTCTTTTCTTTCATTGCTTTTACAACCCATTGCTTCTGTGTTTTAGCAAAAAACATTTTGTAACGGTCTTGCCCTTTGTTTGTCTCTGACTTAATGACTGCTTTATCACGTTTAATATTGTTGTTGTGATCTAATGCTGCTAACTGAGTGCGGGCTACCATCCCAGGAAATGAAAAATGCTCTCGCTTTGGGCAGGTCTTTTAGAAGCCTCTTGTCACAAATCACCTTCTCTGCAGCCATATATGCTTGTGAAGTAGGAGATAACCACTTCTTCTGCTTTGTTTCTTTTTCTGTTAATTGTTGGTGGCAACATTGATGAAAATATGTGTTCCCCTTCCAGAAATGCTTGTTGGAAATGTGGTTAAGGACAGACTTCCATTTTTCCACCAATTCTTCTGCATTCTTGTTACAACTTGCAGAGCACCACCAAAGATGATTAGAAATGGACTTAATCCAATGGGTCAAGTCATCATTTCCCTTAATGTTAGCCTTCTTTGTTAGTTTTTTTGTGACAGATTTAGACAAATGCCACACATCATATTGGTGATCAATATGAGGGTGTTTGTTTTTCAACCTCTGCATCCACAGTATTCAGCATCGACAGTGTAGTTTGGACTTCCATGGCATGTAAACTCCTCACAACAAATGAACACTGTGTTGATGCCTCTTTGGTTTGTGGCTTGCAATAATTAGTTGGCAATGCTTCAGGACTGTCAGACGCACCCAAATCACAACTGTTATTTGCTTCTGGCTCAACCACTTGTTATTTGCTTCCGGCTCAAGTTTCTGTCTTAGGTCCGATTCAAAACAATCGGGAGCAAAGGGCTCGCTGCAAACGTAACAGTATTCGAGAGGAGGTAGATTTTCTCTCCGTATTCTAGCAATCCATTATTATACAATTATGTACAATAATTAGGAAACTATAAGTTCATACTTTGCGTCAAGGAAACTACAACTTAATTCTATGCACGAAAGGCTATTTTTACAATGGTTTTATGTAGGATTATTTTCTAACCGTAATGAGTTACACAACCATGTTTATTATTATTCAATGTTTATTAAGGGCAATAGATTGGTTTCACATCAGTGGAAACTGTTGTTAAGGTTGAATTCGGAGGACAAGGCATTACGCACAGTTTCCACACAAAGAAACCTTCGTATTCTTTAAAAAATAATATTAATCGACATTCAAGTTCTATATGTAGTGCGGAAACTGTGCGTAATGGCCTTTATGGATGTGAAACCGTTCTATTAAAACAGAATACAAATAACCAGCTCAATACTTGCATGTAAGCTATAAAAGTTGCTTGTGTATATACCTACGAATAAAAAATTCTGACGTTTCGAAAAGAAACATTTTGTGATTAGGAGAAGCATTTTGACGCAAGTTTATTATGACTGTGCAATGACTTTACATAAAGCTTTGAGGAGCAATTGACGATATGACGTCAATACAAGCCGCTGACATATTTCTGCTCCCACGCACCGGATGCCCTAGCTGCAGCATTTCAACTCATTTTTTGTGAAAATATTGAATCAAACAAACAAAAAAGTTGCCGCATGTTTATTTTCACGGGACAGACAAAGTTTTAAGACCAACATTATTTTTGGGTGGAGTTCCCCTTTAAGAGTGCCGTGTGCCAGTATTTGTGGCCCGCGTGCCAAAATTTAGTCGTGCCGTGCCCAAAACAGTTGTCGTGTAAACGGGGCTTAGATTGCTAACGAGCCGCCATATTGCGTGACATCCATGATAAATCCAAGATGGCGTGGGAACCGGGCAAAAAACATAGAGTCACTATAGGGCAATTGATGTTTTTCGCAATTTACTTCTTCTCATTGTTTTCAAACTCATCCGATGAAGTTTTATTGGAAACAAATCTTTATTTCAAGTGTTTCGAAACCATATTGGACAATTATAATTGAAATACGGGTGAAAATATCGCTTTCGAAATATTGTGTAAATTGGTCGTTTGGTTGTCTCAAGTCGTTTGTCCACGAAGAGAAACAGATTTTTTCAGCTTTAACTCATATACTGATTTGTTACGCATCGGAATATGTCATATTGACAATTTACAGAAAGATTGGGGAATCAATCTGAATATTTCTGACAAAAAAGCGACTTATTCGAGAAAGCACTCCCACTGTACTCGTACTGATATGTGAGATATGTGAGATTCAAACACGGTTTGGAAAGGCCATCCGACTTTGAATGAATGAAAAGAGGAGTAAGGACATACATAACACTGCAGCACTATTATCTACTGACAAGATCTTAGTGAAGCTATTAAAGTTAGTAAACTTAACTGAAGGAAACTTACCTCATCTCAAGTAATTTTATCCAGGAGCATTGGCTATACTGATGAGATCTTACAGCCAAGTGGTTCAAAGAAAGAGAAGGAACTTATGTTCAGAAGCTTACTATATTAACAGTGGTTATTTCAAAATCTGACATAATTACATTCAAACACATAACCCAAGATACTGTTACAATACTATTTTTTGATAGAGTTATAAAGCTCTGTATAAAGTATTTTTTACCAGAGCTAAGGTGTTCATTAAATTAATATATTATCTTATGAAATATTTGATATGGATGTCATCGGTGGCATATCCAGAATGAATGTTTTACACTTGCTAAGTAAATTTCACTGCATCATTGCTCATTTCATTAGAAATCTATTGTTTTTACAGTGAGTGAACACAGCAAGATTGATATAGCATGAGCAAATAAAAATGCTGGCTATGGCTGAGATTATTATGAGATATAGCTGTGAATAAAATATATGTGACTTTTATGCTTATCATACTTAGTTATAATATATGTTTTTATTATGCTATAGCTACAACACCATCTATGATGCCAGTTGTTTCCAATGGCAATGCAATTTTATAACTACAAATGTCTAAATTGCATCACATTATTAACATGCAACTAATGACTTCTGAAAAAAATTGTATCATACTGCTCAGTTGGTTCATTTTATGACACTTACGTACAAAGATAAGTAAACTACTGATATTTCTTTGTTCAATACATGACAGCCCCAGCAACTGCCAACTGCTCTGTTGTAAGTGAAAGCAAGCTAGCTGAAGAGACACAAAATGTTGATAGGAGAGTTTCAGCATTATTAAACAGTTCCACTCTTTGGCATGATGATGTGCTGACCTATATCAGTGGATACATAGCCAAGAAAATTACAAGTTGCATCAAGTGTGCTGAATGTGCAACTGCCTTAACCATAGAGAATGATGACCAACCTCTCATACCTGACCACTCATACTGTCATGAAGGCTCTTTAAAGTCAAGCTTAACCACTTTCAAGACCTATGGCAAGCTTACAAGTCCATCCTCCAGTTCCTCCTCATTGGTAAAAGTAGTAAAAGCAGCAGATAAAGCCCTTCGATGAAGATTAATTTTCCCATCTTTTTGTATGTATTCAATATGATGTATTTCAACGTGGACGAACCAGTATGGGAGCTAAAGCAGACGAAATCCGTTTATTTTGGTAGACAAACGGCTCGAGACAACCAAACGACCAATTTACACAACACTTCGCAAGCGATATTTTCGCACGTATTCCAATAACAATTGTTCAATATGGCTTCAAAACATTATTAATAACGCTTTATTTCCAATAAAACTTGATTGGAGGAGTTTGAAAACACTGAAACAAAGTAAACTGCAAAAAACAACAATTGCCTAATAGTAGCCCTAAGTTTTTTGCCCGGTTCCCGCGCCATCTTGGATTTATCATGAATGTCACGCTGCCGTCTTAATAAGTCTTATATTACGTCACACTCGCTAGCAATCTAGTCCTATTATATCTATGGTTTTTGACCACAAGGCCCAGGCCCCTTTGCCCCTCCAGGTCTTATAGAGCTTAATGGTTATTCCAGGTCAATTAAAATTCAACTGATCTGGTTACCAACGAGATATTCATTGGATTAGTCATTAGTTTTCAATAATAAATAAAGCTGGATTTTTATCACGAAGTAAATGCGATAATAAAGTAAGAATAGTTAATAAATTTTTAATTAATATGAATAGGTAATTTTTGAATTTCAAACATCAGTCGCTAGACGGATTTGACATACTCTAGATCCGCCCCTGTGGTCAACGGCCAGATCAGTGGACAGTCTGGAATGGTCTCGACTGATAATAGGAGTGGCTGGACGTATAAAGGAGTCCAATTGCTATCTTAGAATTGTTTCATTTGAATTTTTGTTTTATTGTGATTGGCTGGACGGATTTCGACTGATAGCCAACTGAACTAACATAGTCAAGCTCACTGTCTGAATTGAATGTTTGATCGTTTCATAGTAATTTTTATAAACATGATAGAAACTAAACTACAATCAGATGGAATTTATGGAAATCTTTTACAAATTCATATATTGACATGAATGCTGCAGTCGAAACTCTGAATTTTTTCAAGAGGGTGAAAAATTTATGGATAAATTGTAAATGCTTGGCAAAGACGATCTCGCGAGCGACATTTCAGTCATTGATGTTCAAAAGA